AGCCATTAGCGAAGTAGTGAGTGGCTTCGGCCTCCCTTTGGATGTGTGTTTGTGGTATTTTTTGGGCTCTTTTGTTCTCTCGCAGGTGTCCTTTTAGAGAGGTCTAACTTTGCTTGATTTTTTATTTTGGTATTTTCTCTCTCTGATCATTATCCATGCTTGGCGATTGGGTCTTTCTCTTGTCTTTCTTTTTGTTTTTTTGGTGTGTTCCCTTTTTTGAGGTGACACTCCTTCTGCCCTGCATTATTACATGTATACTTTGATCGATAATGCCTTTGCCTTCCTTATTTATATATAACATATTTATTTTTTCTTTCAAAACAAGTTATATCTTTTATCAGAAAGTTTATAACTAACTATCATTATGTGCTTAAAGTTTCTAAATAACTGTAATGAGTTATAGTTTTGGCCTAAAAGTTTGTCAATAACTCCGTGTTGAATTAAGTTTAACTAGATTAAGATTCGCACTATGCGCGACTGTAAATTAACTTGTTTATTTTTTATTGAGTTTTAAATATATTAATAGTTGGTTTTGACAAAATATGATTACTAAATTTATATTACAAACTTTTTCTGTGAATTATAATAGAGACAATAATATAAATTAATCACAAACAAATATACATTTCATTTGGAAAAAAAATACATGCGTGTAAATTGAGAGCGATATCTCTAATTTAAGTTTACAAACTTACATATCTATAAAGTGATTTTTTTATTTGTTTTGATTCTCATATTTTATTTTTTTCACTTATCTTTTATTTAAATATTTTACTTTAATTTGTTATATATATATATATATATATATATATATATATATATATATATATATATATATATATATATATATATATATATATATATATATATATATATATATATATATATATATATATATATATATATATATATATATATATATATATATATATATATATATATATATATATATATATATATTAGTGTTAAATAAAATTAAACATATAATTAATAATTTTACACCTTTAATTCTACTCTTTTAAAATTATTTTTTTCTTAAAAGAAAAACTAAACATACACTTTGCTTAAAGTTAAAGTTAGAATAAATTTTAGAGACAAAATCAGTTCATTTTCAAAGCAATCAAATACATCAAAGTCAATTTTATATTTTCAGAATCAATTATAGAAACATTAAATCAAATAGTTTCGAGGGTAAATGAGAAGTACATAATGTCGAAGAAATGTGTTCTTCTAGGATAATGTTAAGAGATTCAAGTACGACGACGAGAGCTTCAAAGAGAACCTACAAGATTAGCACTTCAACATCAAAGTCAATAAAGTCAGAAAGATATAGTTTGAAAATTAAAGTGAAATCACACGTAAATTGGTGCATCAATGTTTTTGCATAGAGAAGACTGTTAAAACTACTCTCCTCTAACCTAACGTAAGATGCATAAATGATACTTTAGTAGCTAGAATTAAGTACTCGTTTTTTGATGAAATATTACTTATTCCTTTATCCGTTGAATGGATATTACAAATTATACCTCATAGTTGAAACTTCTTCTTCGGACATGTTATTCTTCTGAAATATAAACCTATTCAGTTAATCAAAAGAAATTAATTATAAAATAGTTTCATGAATATGATTGTATTGGTTGTGATTACACATGATTGGTTGGCGTTGGTTAGTGGTGGTATGAGAGTGAAAGTGAGATCATGGTGCGTAGTTGTGTTTATATGAAAGACCGTTAAAACTATTTCTGTCTAAACCGCCATGAGATTTAGAGTATCATCACATCAAATTTGACAGCAAACAATACTCTAATAGTTAGAATTAAATGTTCGACTTTTGATGAAGTCTCACCTATTTCTTTATATGATAAATGGATACTACAAATTGAATTTCACCTTCATGCACGTGGTAGGCACGAAACACAAACATATTTTTAAATTAATTATTCATTTATTAAAAGAAATAAAATAAAATAATATCTTGAATGTGATAGTGTTTGTTATGATTTCATATGATTGCAGTTGGCGTTGGTTAGTGGTAGTATCTATTCATCAAAGTGATAAAAGGAAGATGGGGACACAAGTTTAGGGTATGAATCATGGGAGAATGGAGTTAATGCGTATGTCATGAGCTTCTTGCACTTTGTATTTCCTGAAATGACACTTCATAAATCACGGTAATCACGCGCTCATCTCATGTTTTTCATTTCCTTTTTCTTTTTCCCTTGCAGTATATCTTACCCTCCCCCATAAGCAATTCAACCATATGAATTTTAAGAGAAAATATACAAGCTAACAATAGCATAAAAATATACCTAATTAAGTTTATTTATTGTGATGGTTCATGGTGGTATAAAGCATTTAGAACCAACTGGATTTTTCCAACAAAATCATGAGGTAAAGGAATGTTGGAATTAATAACATGTCAGCCGATATAGTTGCAACTTGCATGCATTCAAAATTGAAGAGGGCAAAAACAGATTGTTAAAAGCTCCACATTGTAAGGGATGGTATGAAATTGAAAGGATTAATCACACCAAAACTTTTTCATCGTAAAATATGATCATATCAAACAAATAAGTAAGATGGTGTGTGGAACAAAAATCAATAATATCCAAACAAACTAAATAATTTGAACAACAAAATAACATATGAAAAAGTGTAAGCAAATCCATAACTAAAAAGAAGAAGATAAAAGAACAAAGAATTTGTTTATCGAATTCAATCAAATTAATTTATAATGGAGGAGAAAACATCTCCCTAATTTACTATACTTCTAAAAATTATTATAAGAGATTACAAAAGACTTATAGAAAAATTATTAAAAACAAACTCGATTTTTTATCGAAGTGACCTCTCAAATTTTATATAAAAATAACAAAAACCTAGTCGCAAAATATATATAAGTCTTTCTTAATTCTCTTAGATATCGCTATAAATTTTCCAAATTTTTAGTATTTTAAAAAATTTCTACACTTACCAATAACAAAAGTGATAAAGATACATATTTATAATTAGTGAAATTCATCATATTCATAACTAACCTAAAATATGACTCATTAATAAATAAATCTACGAACCAAATTAACAAGGTTCAATATCCGCAGATTTTTCAAGTCAGAATGCCACTGTCGTCTGGCTCTTGAATCTCCGCCAAGTGCCATTTTCCCGTCGCCGCCAATACCTTTGCTTTGCCGACAATTACTAAACCGCCACCTCTCTGGTTTCAATACCAATGACTTTTTTGTCGGGCACCACCGTCAAATCTCGAAATATGTTTTCCTACCCTTCATTACTTGAGGTTTTAACGCATCCAAATAGAATTGATTTTATAAAAATAAGTTAAACTCAATTTAAAAATATAATACAAATTTATATATTGGAGACACATTACACAATGTTAATTAACTTCAACACATACATGTTTTACACAACAATTTGGCAAGTCTTTTCTATATACACCAACACATAATGGTGATGATACAAGATAAAGTATAAAGAAGGTTAATAAATTCTTTCCATCATTTGTGGGGTGTATTTTCTTGTAAATAGTGAAAGTAAAGAATAAAGATGACAACAATGAAAACCGATCCTTCAATTCCATCTTTGCTTTACTTTACTTTCACTGTGACATAATAAAGAGTTATGGTCAGTGACATTTACCATGGATTTGAAGGTTCTAGTCTTCAACTATTTAAAACCTAATAAACATGTTTTTTTCTTGGTATAGAAAAATAGAGCCCTAGTCTTTTTGTTTTTATCTTAGAACCCTAATCTTAAAATTAACTTGAAAATCTAATTATTTCTCTCTGTAACTCTAAAAAGCTGGCAGTATTTGGTTAAACACTTTACTCTCAAATTACTATCACTTTTTCAGACACCATACACTGCAAACATAGAAAGTATAGAGGAAAATAAGGATTGAAGCAACGTTCAGTCACTGCTACATTGGTACACTGCTGTGTTTTATGCATTGATCAGTAACTGATACACACAGATATAGAGGGACACGCTATGTTCTTATTGATTCTTGTATTTATAAATAATTGAATAGATTAACAAATTCATGAATAGTGTGTAGTGTCATTGAAGACTAACAGTTTCAAGTTAACAACAGTCCAAAAATTCCATCACAGATCCCAAAGTGGGAAAAAGTAACCTTATCAATCACCTCTTTTTGAGATGTGAGGCTTAAGAATGCTATGTCAAGACAAAAGTCCAGTTCATCATATCATCATCAATACCTGAATTTAATCAATTCATTCCAATATTCATTTATAACACTTTTCATGTCATCACAATTTTCTTCTATTGATGTTTTTATCACATTAATTGAACCAATATTAACATTCTGACACGATACTAACACGCATTCAATATGAAATTTTATCTGACACTACATGTGTAGCTATCAGACACTAACGTGTACTCAATACAAAATTTTGGATGAAGTTTTCGTGTTACATAGATAAAACATCGATACATACACCATTAAAAACACAACACTATATGTTTTGTTGTTGGACACTGACATCTTCGATTTAAAATGTCAAGTTACATTGCTATAACATCTATTATACTTTCCCAATTTCCCTATTAGATTTATACTCATAATTACAAATAATGACTAGCATAAAAAAAATAATTGAGGGCACAAGCATACGAGTATAGGATATTAATTGTAAGAATTAAGACAATTATATTAACTATATTAACTTGCATCAAGCTCAAATTCATCAATACAAAAGAAAATTTGGACAACTATAATAATAAACATGATGAATTTATCAACAAAATGCTAAGTTCTAAAAATTCCCTTTTGCTACATACATAACTTGATTTTGATAAATTCATAAAATATGTTTTAATTTAGATTCTAGACAACTATATAGTACATCATAGCCTTCCAATTAATTCCTCATTCTTCACTTTTCCTTCCTGGAAAAGAAAAAGCTCTACCTCTAATTCTTCACCGCAAATCCAAACATACACTTAATCAATCCATTTTAGGGCAAAGCACTGTATGGTAGCTGCTGCTGCTGCTGCACATCACTCCAAGCATGAACACCACCATTGTTAATCCAGTTGTTGTTGATGTAGTTTCCATTATCATGATCACCATTCATGCAAACACTATCATTAGTTCTTGTCGGAGTCATCACGGACGAATAAGAATTCATCTCGAAGAACCATTCACTTGGACTTGGACCTGCTTTTCTCATATCACCATCATCTCCAACACCTTGAAACATTTCCGCCTTTGAATTCTCGAGATTCTGAAACAAAATAGGTTGAGGCTTTTCAATGCCGCTAACCTGAGAAACCAAATCATTTCCCCTAATACCATCTTTCTTTTCATCATCTCCACCGAACATAGTCGCTAATCGCTGCTGCTGAAGCTTCAAATGCAAATCTTGATTTATACAACTCAATGATTCAATAGCAAGACTAGTACTAGTACTAGTAGTTGGAGTAATAGTACTAGTGTTCACATTCATAAAGTTCATTCCTTGAATTGCATTTTCATTGATGAATCCACTTCCATTTGAAGTAGAAGAAAAAGGATATAAATTTAGACCCATCATTGGATTTGAGGTACTAGATGGATCTAGATGAAAACTTGAAGGACTTGTAGTAGGAACACAAGTGTTTGAATTTGAAGGGAATTGGTTATAGAAATAGGGTTTTGACGTAAAGGGTAATGGTAAAGGTAAGGGTAATAAGCCACCAAGATGAAAATCAAGTGAAGGTGAAGAAGAGTACTTAGAAATGGATGATAATGGTGATGATGATGATGATGATGTTAAAGATGAGTTTTTGAGCTTTTGTTTCTTTCTACAACCTCCGCCGATTGGAACGTTACGCAAGGATCCACCATTAGTCCAATATCTTCTACAAGTTTTGCAGAAATGTCTTGGTTGAGTGAGACTATAGTTGTTGTAGTAACAGAATTTTGTGTTGGAAGAGTCACATCTTGGACATTTTACAACTACTCTTTGTTGTTGTTGTTGATCTGGTTTCTTGGATTCTGAAGAGGAATTCTCTTGTTGTTGGTGGTTTTCATGATTTTGTGTGTTGTTGTTATTTGGTGGAACCATTGGGGTGAGAAAAAGAGAAAAGAAAAAGTGATGAAATAAAGGTTAAGAAAAAGAGAGAAAGATTGTACTACTTTTTTTATAGTTTTGTTATGGAGAAGGAAGATAGAACTTAGAAGTAGTTGAATGATGGTTTCATTTGATGCATGATGGTGGTGAAAGAGAAGGGTGTTTGTTGTTGATATATTGTGCTTGTGATTGTTATTAAAAAGGGTGTATGAGGTGGGTTTAGAGGTCTTTTTCATATGATTTTATGCAATAAAGCTAAACATATAGTATATAGATACATGTATTTGTATGTATATATAAGGAGGAGAGAGAGAGAGAGGCATGAAAAGACAAAGAGTGACAGAAGGAGAGAGAACATAAACGAGAAAAATGAATAATAGAAAAGTGCTAGAGAAGTAAAGGATATGTATTATGTATGGTGCAATGTAACAGTTTAATGTAACAATATAGGATTAGCTAGGGCGAGAGCTAGCATCATTTATAGAGTTAAAATTAATGTTAGAATTAGTAAATCTCTAGTTTGATATATTAAAGAGTATAGTATAAGACACTAGCACTTTTACATTGTCATGGTGCAAAAACTAGTAACGTATCTTCTTCTTCTTCCGAGTCTAGAACATGTCTAACAAACTTCTCCAAAACTTCTCCAAACAGTACGCAAGCCCTTTTTTACTCTTTTAAGTTACATATACGTGGATTTGGATACTTTTGTTTGTATATTTTTGGAAAAATTTTAAATTCTCACGGAAAATTATAAGTATTAGAATTTGAGTCTTAAGACTGACGTCAAATCAGATAATATTAATTTCTTGAAGTTTGTAGATATTATATATTCGTTAACTTTGAAAAAACGTGTTTGATTTTATGATAATAAATTAATTTTTATTAAATTACATTTAAATTCTTTTTTGAATATTTCAGATAAAAATAAGTTAAATAATAAATTTAAATATAAAAAAATTATGATTATAATTGATATTAAAAATTTATTTCATCTATTTTTATTTATAAGTAAATTTTAATTTTTTACATTCATTAAATAAACGATGTATCTAGTCTTTATATCATTCAAATACTATACAATGAATCTGAAAAGTCAAAATTTACTGATAAATAAGAATGGATGGTGTGGTAGAAAACATGTTAAACCACAATTTATTATGTTGGACAATGTATTATTTGACAAACACACTTCCCAAGTAAAATAATATTATTCCCTCCATCTCAAAATAGTTGTCACATTTAAAAAATTATTTGTTCTAAAATAGTTGTCACTTTATATTATCAATGCAATTTTATTTTTAATCTTTCAATTGTACTCTTTAATAAATATTCTTACTTAACTGTATTTCCCAATTAACATTAATGCTAATTTGAATATATCAATAATCGATAAGAATACTTTGGTAAAGTCACTATTCTCTCTATTTCATTTATTATAATTTCTTAATCGATGTGAAAATATTAATTATGACATTTATTTTGGGATAGATGGAGTAATATTTATAAAAGTATTGTAATGGTATGGGTTTAAGTACATCAACTCAAATCTTGATTAGGTCATAAAAGACTAATATCATACAAATAAAATGAGTTCAATCTAGTCAAATTAAAGAAACACTTCATGGATAGATAAGTTTTTTTTATAAGCAAGAGAGTTTTGTTGAATAGAGTATAAGGGATACTCAACCTAATACAAGAAAGAAAGAAGAGACAAACTAACAAACACTACCCCAACTCAATTGAGTAGTACACGATAATGGATTGTCAAACCTAACCAATAAACTAGATTGAAATGGGCCTTTGCATCTAGCCCCAAATCAGTCGCACAATAAAACATTAACAGGGTTTACAATATCCTTCTCAACTAATGATCCTCTTTAAATAAGATAGGATTTCTAGCTAATCAAATACAACAAGTTACCGAAAACTAAAACAACATTCTAAATTCTTGTTAATCCCTCCTTTCAATAGAATTTCAAAATTCAAAAAGTGGTCTATAGTCAAAATTGATGGAAAAAAACCCAACGAGGTCGATCTAGGCTAGAACCATATGCCAAATACAAGAAGAGATAAAGCATGGGAGAAAGAGATGAAGATTATTTTCTTCATGACCAAATCATATGAGGAAAACTAGGTTGTGAGAACTGCTAATAACCACCCGCTAACCAAGCTCAACTTGAGTTGGGAGCCTATTCAAGAGGAGCCTCCAAGCAAAGACTTGAATGTTACTAGGGACGCTTGTTTTCCAAATAAGTTACAAATCATGAGATGGAGATGAACTCTATTGAGAGCTTACTAAAAATATGAGAAGCAACCCATAGTAGGCAGCTTTGAGAGAAAAACCCGTGGAGTTGCGCCACCAAATGAAAGAATCTGAAGAAACAAGAATTGAATGAACATTTAGGAGAATGTTGTGAATCACTTCCCATTTAAGACTAGATGCCACTGATAGATAAGCCGAGTTAAAATCCAAATTCCAAATCCAAGTGTCATCATGCCAAGCCCCTAAAGAACCAATCTTAGGTGTATGATAGGGAAAAATAACAAGTGTACTATTTTTTCCTTGCAGTAATAATAGGGATTTTTTTTCCCGGATATCGATCTCGAGGACTGCGTGTAGTACTGAGGATAATGCATAGTTCAATTAAAAATGATTTACTTTGGGATAAGGTTTTGAAATTGTCACTTAATCAACAGAAAGATAAAATGACTTTTTAACAAATATGAGGAGTATGCTAAGGTAAGTGTGTGATTTGACCTTGTACTAACCTTCATTCTTGATCTCTTCAACAATTTCATTACTTTCAATTACCGAATCTTTAATTTGTTTTCCCCTAAGTCCTTAGTGAGAAAACCTTTGGTCCTTCATCCTAATACCTAAGTCCTTAGTGAATTATGATGGAACCAAGCAGTTATCTTATCAAGATTTTACCGGTGACCTATAGGGTATCCCTAGTCCTAGATGATATCTACTATAGTCTAATTGTTCAAAAACCTTAACAATGGCGGTCCAACCTTAATTGTTAATCATGGATCAATCCCTATTTGGCCGATAGGAAAGGCATAAGAACATTGAACTATTAAATTGAAAAGCAAATATTATATCAATACCAAGAATTCAAAATCAATACATTTGAAAATCAGGGCCACCCCCTAGAATTGGGGAGTATAGCCTCTCATAGTATTTAAAATAAAAGCAACAATAAAATTAGACATTACAAAAGATAAGGATTCTTCAATCTTCAATTGCTATCACTCATGAAGGAATATCTGTCTCCAAATCTCTTCAAAGCCCCAATCTTTATCGTTCCTAATCTTTTTCTGTCAAAATTCCATGGCTTCATCGTGAAAACTCCTCTAAATAGCAAACACTCACTTAGGTCGGTTCAAAATACCAAAAATGCCCCTCTGGGTCACAAATAGTGAAAAATAAGGAAAACATGAAAAATCAGCGTAACTGGCCAACACGGCCACCCGTGTTGGCCCTCTGGTACTTAATTTCTTTAATCAACTCCAGACAAACTGACACGGCCTGTGTAAGCCCCGTGACATCCAACTTTGCACGCACTCATATCCTGACACGGCCCGTGTCAGGTGACAGGACCCCCCGTGTCAGGCCCCATATAGGTGGATTTTTAACTTTCTCTTAAACTCCAAGTTTTTGCACTTTTTCACCCTGAATTGTTCTGTTTGATTCCTTTGATGCTGAAAACACTAAAACACACAACCAAAGCATAAAATGTGGTAAAATGAAATAAAACACTCGACAATAAAAGAAAAGATAACTGTAATTAATGATAAATAACTGTGTAAATATTACTGATCAAACTCCCCTAAACTTAAACCGTTGCTTGACCTCAAGCGACCATTACAAGAACTCATGAAAATCACAGCAGCCCGATACTCGTACGTGAGACATTCATTCATGGTTGACCAAAAAACAGTTTGTCCGATGTTCACATGACGTGAAGAGTTTGTTTAAGAATCTTTAAATCTAGAGCTTCCTCTTCAGATACCTCTCTAACTATGCTTTGTACTTAATAAGAATATCAATCTTCTGATGAATCAGTAAGACAATTGAGATGTCTTGAGGTATGAGAAACCCTTGTAGCTTGAGTGACTAAAAAATTGAGGGCATGAGACCCTTCTTGCACTCATTGTCAACACAACCACCTTCCATAGCTTATAAAAGAACTTGAGAACCAAAATACCCTGATCATATCACAAGGCATGAATGTATATGATGAAACATAAGCCTTTAAAGTTCTAAAAACAAGAGGGTAAATTTTGGGGTGCAACAGCTACCCATATTCAATCATCTTAAACCTGATAAGTGAGAAAAAAAGTGACAACTTTCGGATGTTCAAGGTGGAAGAGGATTGAATACTAAAGGAACCCGAAAATTTATGCTCTTGAACGAGAGAGTAAAGCAACAAGGGTAATTGTATCTTTTTAAGGATGATACCAAGCAAACTGGGTGAACGAGAGGAAGACTGGTGAATATTAAATATTACCAAAGAGTATCAGATAATAATGGACTCAAGAAATATACCAAGTAGAAATTGGATTTGAATGATGAGCCAAGAAGAGGTTAGACTCAAAAAGTAAGTCAAGTAGAGATTGGACTTACACCAAGAGGACTAGTGGATGCTAGACTCTAGAAGAATGTTCCAGGTAAAATTGGATCACAATCTGCAATAATGAGATAAAACTCATCCCAAGAATACTAGATAAAACTAGACTCTGAAAGGTTGTGCCAGGACATAACTGGAACACATATTATAATAATGCGATAAAACTCAACCCTAGAAGACTAGATAATACTAGACTCTAAAGATACGAATAAATATCAGATCCAATGGGTATACCAGAAATAAATTGGTCTCGATCAACAAAGGATAGATAAAACTGAACTTATACCATTAACATGCTAGCTGAATGCTGATGGGATCGAGTAGAGATTATTGAGATAAAACTCGACCTTCGAGAGT